AGCAGCAATGGCGCGGAAGGCGCGGGCAAGAGGCTGTTGCAAGCGCCCGGGTTGAGAGGCCGGGCCCCCCGAAGCAAGAAAGGAAAGAAAGGGAGCAAGAGCACGGGCGGAGAGAGCCCGACCCCTTGAACCACTCACGGCTTGAGCCAAAATGGCTACTCTCTCTCTCTCTCTCTCTCTATACCAGGACAGAGGGAACGAGCGGGACGCCCGAACCCCCGCACGCGAGCGCGCACCTGCGGGTCACAGGTTTTCAACGTTCCCCACCGGAGCTTCGCCCCAGAAGGCTCAGCTACACAGAGCCCCGAGGGCACTCCCTCCGCCGCGGAACACCGAAAACAGCAACTGAGGCCCCGGCCGAAAACAGCTTACAAAGACAGTGTCCCTTCGTCCGCGACAGGAGGAGCTCCCCCCCCGGCCATCGCCCGCTGTCAGTGCGAAGCCGCTGCAACACAAGTGCACGACCCTAACATCACAAAGTACTGCGGCTCCCCGGGAAAAGCGAAAGAGACTAAGCTGCAAGACACGGTTTCCCCCGGTGTCAGCGGGTACTGGCAGGGCTGTGCACTCCTGACTACTCGGCTCCTCGCTCCCCCGGCAGAAGAACAGCCTAAACCACTCCACATCCACATTGGCTACACGTCTTCAGTGCTGTAAACAAGGAATTCCCCCGCTAGGTCACTCGGAGCAAAACTGTGGCACGGGGCGAGAGCCCCCCTCAGAGGCCTATTTGCAGCACAGGCTGGCACAGGAGAGTACTGTTGAAGCACGACTGTCAGGACGTTGCTCTCCCCGGGGCGTGCAAAAGCAACAGCGAGTACGATGCAGCAACGACTGAATGCCCCGCAGTGCCAAACTACTTTACTGGTACAGGGTCCGCTACTCGGGTTGAGCCCTAGGCCTTTGATCCCCCCCGGTGCGGTGCAAGCAAACAAACAGCTGGTTGTAAGGCCACGGCCACTTGGAAGCTTATGCGGCTGCAGAAAGGGTTCAGGTTCGGGATCTGTGCTTCCGGTCGCCGCGCGTCATCTCTCCCTCTCTCTCTCTCTCCAGCTGAGGGTCGCAGGACAATTTTCAAGGGATCTCAGAACCAGGAAATTACAATTACTACCGCCGTCGCCAATCATCTCCGAGAAACGTAGCGCGCTTCGTCCCCTCGGTGCTGAACCTTGTGCATGTAGGTGTCCTCAGGCACTGCCGGGCGAGGGCCACTAATTTGGAAGGTGCAGACGGAAACTCCGTGGCTGTGGTCGTGGCATCAAAGATGATGACTTTGCCGTCGCTCCATGATACCTGCCCATACATCAAAGGCCCAGACATGCTACTGACACACTCACTGTCTTAGGCCTCCTGCCCAGCCACTGTCAAGGTCGCACCGCTTGGTGCACGGAGTCCCAGGTGCAGCGTGAGCCGCGGGTGCGTGCCTGGACGCAGAGGACGGAGCCGGCTTTCGTACTTGCTCTTAGGGGCTGAGTACCCTAGCCAAAAAAAGGTTAACCTTTCGAATTATAGTAGGACTATATAAGCCCAAAAAGGTTAAAGGTTACCTACTCAGCCCCTTATGTGCTTTTGAGCTCCGGACCGAAGTGTGGCTTGAGCTGGGCTCCCGGTAGCAGGCGGGCAAACGAGGCGCCCGACCTCATACAAAGAGATTCCGAGTCCTATAGGAAGGCGGCAGCGCGACAGACCAGCACCTCGAGCTCCGCGCAAGTAGGTTCCACAGGCTGGTCCGATTTCTGGTCTTTGTGCCAGCAGCGCACAGCTGGGCTGAAGGAAGGGCAAGCGGCACAAATCGGACTCTCCTTTGATTCAGCGTGTCACGTCACGGGTGGGCGTTTCACTGTCGGCGCTTGTGAAGGTCCTCCGCTGTGAATGAGCTTGATCCTGGTCCAATCCTCCTTCCTGGCCGCAAGAGCAGCGATGCCCACAAGCACTGTCTTGCCTCCGATGGCAACTACGTAGTTACCCCGAATTGTCGTAACCATGCTTTCTTGGCCTGCCGTGCTAATTCTGTAGAGAAACAGCTCGCATGGAGCCTCGGCGTCAGACCGCTCTGAAACCGTGCTGCTGCGCCTCGCCAGCGCATGGAATTCCGCAGAATAAGCTGACCCGTTTACTTTGGGTGTCTTGTGATGTCTGGGCCCGACACCGAAATGGGCGCCGTCAGGATCTTCCTCCAAGAGAGCCTGGCATCGACCGATTCGCGGCATAGACAGCAACACTAGGTCGCTACGTCCTTCAGCACTGCACAGGCCAAGCTATCTTCAGAAGACCAAGACTAACTTGGCAAGCAATCCATGGGGACAAAAAAGGAGCCGTTCTTTTCCACGGCCCCCTGCCACTCGGTGCAGCTCTTTGTGGCCCCTTTTCGGCAGACTCGGCCTCGAGGCTGGACCGGAAGGTCGCGTAGTGCCTGAGAGGACCGAGGGACAAGAGCCATATTTTTCAGGCTGCGCTTTGTTGCCTACCGGTTTCTGGTTTCGGCGGATGCTTTAAATACTTGGTTTTAGCCTCTTAGCTTGGCCCTATAGGGCAAGCCCGCCTCTCGATGAAGGTGGCGAAGTCCGGCCAATGTTCCCGTGCCAAGATCGGCCAGTGCCGAGCTGTCTCAGATGTAGCGCCCCGAACATCGGTCAGAGCAATGATTCTCTAATAGTTCTTTTGTCCGAGCAGCTGGGAAGAAGTCAGCATTCCTGCACTTCAAAAAAGGTGCAGACATTTCCCAAGGGCGGGTTGCAGCAGCTCAGGCTCGTGCTGATTCAGTCGCATTGGGCTGGCGCTTTTCCCGACGAAGAAGGGAAGCCGCTGCCTGTGGCAGCACAGGAACCCTCACCAGGCAATGCCTAGATAGATGCTCCTTGACATGCCAGGGCTTGAGCAGTTCTGCAAACCGACGGGCCACATGGTCGAAGGTCTCCGAAGCCGCTTTGAAGTCCTCACGGCACGGAGTTTTGATCGAGGGTAGATGTTACGTAGACGGCAGAAGAGCGCAATCCCCAAAAGGCCTGGCTGCCTCGGGCAAGCTCCAGCCTGAGCTCTTGGGACCCACAAGGCCCGATCATCGAAGTGATCCCGTGAGCGCAGAGTGTAAGCAACTGGGGACCTGGCCCAAGCTCCGATCCGATGAGGAAGGTAAAGCGCCATCTCCAAGGACACTTCCTGCCGGAGATAAAAAGGCGATCCGATCCAGGTACCCTATTAATGCTTCCTAATGCCAGGCTCCTTAGGAGGAACTCTTCAAGCTCCAAGTCGATGAGGTCGCAGCCTTGCCGGAGTGGTATCCTACTGCTTCTGAGAAAGAGCCGCGGCTTGCCTGCAATGGCCAGTGCTCTTTCATGGAGAGTGAGAGACTCCCGCATGACCTCGCATGAGCTCCAGGCTGTCTTGTAGCTGTTGCCAGGACTCAGAAGAGGACTCCAACTTGCCTGAACACTGGGGCTCGCAAGGCTCGCAAGCCCCACTTCTTGTGGCCTTAAGGGCGAAACAACGGGCCGCACTTTCGCGGACGAAAAGGGCTCCACGGCCGGCCGAGGTCCGAACTGAAGCCCCCACCAGAAAAAGGAATGCAGTGCTTGGCCCAGGCCAAGTGCCTAGGCCAAGGGCTGCTGGCTAGCAACCTTCGTCACTTCTGCCGGCGCGTCCCGCTTGGGGGCGACCCATCGGTGCGGCCGAGAAGATCAGTGGGAAATTGAAAGGCTTTCCGCCATGGCGGCCTAGTTAAGCATATTGTCGGCTCGGGAGCCACGGGCAACATGGCCTTCTGGGATGTGTTGTCAAACATCAAACATCTGCCCAGTTGTTCGACATCTTCAGAACTCAGCCATTCGTTCTTGCAAGGTGGTTCGCGCGTCTCAGGACTCTGGGACCCAGGCTAAGCGTGGATGCAAGTCTGTCGCGGCGGCCAGGTCCAGTAGCGTTCGCAATGCTTCGGAGCGAAGTCTCGGAGAGAACAAGCGGCTTAATTACGGCCCAGGCTGGAGTGGAGTAAGATTGGCATCTCTCTCCTGTGTAAGGCCCAGACGAGCTGGGTTGCTCCATGTCAGCATCCTGTAGGCAAAAATGAGCAGCCGGCTTGGAACAGCAGACACATGTCATCTTGGTACAGCACCTTGCAGTGCATTGAAGGCCCAAAACTGTTCCGATCAGGTTTGAACTGAACTGAATCCTCGCGCCTTTTTCATGAACGTCTAGACAGACTGCAGAATGCCGCTTGCCAAATGCTTTGAGTATCATGGGTGCTCGGTCAATCTTACAGTGCAGAAGCCGAACGTGAGCCGCTCAGCCGACTGCTTCCCATCACTGAGCATTCGTTGATTTGGTGGCATTCGTTCTTTGCTGCGCTGTTGTGCCTTGTCTCTTTTCTTGTGGCACCATGCCGGCTTGCGCTATGACACATCCTGTGTGGCAGACTTTTCTGTGGCACTGGTTGATGCGACAAGGCCGGCTTGTCGGGTCTCAAGCTGCTGCTGTTGCTGCCTTCGCCACGGAGTCAGACAGTTCTTGGCAGGAATCAAGGCCACGCTGCCGTCCACCGATTGGTTCCTCTTTGTGGCCGGATGCGTCCTCCCTTGACATATATAATATACATATATATATA